GCTCTCACACTCTCCTCTCTCTCTCGTTTTCCTCTCTCGGAAACCAATCTCTTCGTCACTTCTCTGTCTATCTGTCTTTCTCGCGTCGAAATATCGTCTTCCGTTCGCCCGCATCTTTAACCACGTCGCCATTATGCAAGACCTCTCTCTCTCTCTCTCGATCGCAACGCGTCGCTTTTTTGCGATCTGCTCTCGTCCTCTCTCACGTCTCTCTCGTCGCTCTCTCTCCCCTCTCCTCCCGCCCTCTCTTCTTCTCTCCTCTTCTCTCTCTCTCTCTTCTTCTCTTTCTCTCTCTCTCTCTCTCTCTCCTCTCTTCTGCTCTCTCTCTCCATTCTCCCTCTTCTCACGCTGGGACTATTCGCGCTTCCTGCTCTCGCGTGGGACCACTAGCCAGCCATAAAACACCGGGCTTTCTACATAACATCACACTTGTCTACGCACAGCTTTATCCGATCTCTCAGATAGTTAGCTAGAGCAAAGCAGGGGCCGGCAAGGCATTCACCTCGACAAGAGTTAAAAAAGGCACCCAGGTGGCGCTAACGGGCAGACCGGCTGAAAGGTGGGCGATAGGATGATGGCTTTTAACTTAGCGCCAGCTTCTATTTACACGATATACATTTTACGGATATACTAAGAATGATGCAAAACCCTAAAAAGTGCCTAACCTAACGCCTATTCCTGACCCTATTAAATTTAAAATATATGTTAAAATTAGAGCATGTGCTAGGTAAACAGTATCCTATCACACTTTTCAGTCGCGCTGCATTATTGCTACAGACATCCATTCAGGCAAGCGTGTTTCCGGCCAACGACGAAATTAACATCGAACGGACGAGGGATGTGGCACCAATTTTGCTTAATTTTCACATTTCACACTTTAATATGTACATATTTATTTGAGTCGCTCGCCTGATTAACAAACGCGTTTTGACATATTCACACTGTTAACGATTGGCACTTCCATCTCTACAATCTTTCTTGTGGATTAGTACAAGCAGTTTCAACATAATTATTAAACATTTTCTAATAAGTAACATTATACTGCGTTACGGCCACTACAGATTACGTAGTGAGTAATCAGACGACAGGGTAGTACCTTGAGACGTCCGGTATCGGTCGCTTCGGAAGTAAATCTCGGCCTGTTGGCGGGCGGAGCGCCATCTAGTGCTGCGCTCTGTGGCTTCACGGTCGCGATGACCATGACTATGGCGTATTCTTCTTCTCCCCTCACGCAAGTTCTGCAGATCCTGTACGGGGAAGGTAAGGAAAGGCAGATTGGATTGCAGCGATTTCCCGTTTATATCGCAGCCACTGTTTTATGTCGGAACAGGCAACAAGTAAGTAAGAAACCAAGTAAGCTAAGTTGAACAGCAGTGAGGCCTAATTGCTGCTTGATTATCAGGCCCCTTGTGGCGGCGGCGCAGCGCTGCAATAGCAGTAGCTAAACAGCGGGTTATCATACAGTTTCTAACTTATACAACTTAATGGCATCAAGTGATAAGCTGTCGAACGGCTGGCAGAGATTTTGTTTTTTTTTTTTTTTAGATTTTCGAATATTTTATTTTACGCTTTACTAAGTATAGATTACATTGATTTACATATATCACAAAAAGTGTTTTTTAATAGAATCAGCGAGGATGGGCGAATGACTGTACAGTCTTCAAGTCAGGCCAATCCGCTGCAACAGAGAAGTGACAGGGCATCTAACGCCTGAATGTAGCGAGATCCAGCTCCTCTATACGTCACCTCTAACCAGTGCATCCAGCCAGTCTGGCGTACATGCACCGAACCCGCAGTGTGACCTTGGAGCGGTGACAAATTGCTATAGGAGACGACGCCCCGTTTTTGGACGTCAGCGACCGACCGCCTATAGCTACCCGCCGAACAATGTTCCGCGCGCACACAAAAACGCACCGTTATTTATGTGAGCGAAGAAGAGTTGTTATCTGCGCTCGCACGAGCTCACTGCGCAACAAAAACATTTCCGACGGGTTATTTCGCTATTTTCGAGCGAAAAATCCGCTCGCTCATCACGCGCCCCGACGCCGCTAGAACGCTTTCCGCGACGCAAACACAAAACTTATTGCTGCGTGGTTTTTTCACGTCTCTGCGAGTGAGATTGGTGAAAGTGTCGCCCGAGGAAGCGATGACGAGTCGTGGGCATGTGCATCTCTTATGTTATATTATGTTCTCGTACTTGTCGGTGTCCACTGCACTGGATATATAACATCTCAGATATGGACATAACAGATCTTCACATCGTCCCGCCGATTATATATACCCCAGAGTTTTAATGAGTAACTAGGTCGAGTTCACACTCGGTCAATACATCATCATCATCATCATCATCATCATCATCATCATCATCATCATCATCATCATCATCATCATCATCATCGCTGACGTCGTGTGGACAATTTCTCAACATCTCACTCTGGTTGAAATGCGAACCTTAGTTCTAGTGATACGTAAATAGACGTTACCTATTATATATTCATTTGGCAGAACGCGAAAACAAACAGAAGGACAGGGAGAAGACGCGTTGGAGATTGCCCCGGGGACACATGGATTGTGACAGCCAAGGTCATGTGAAGAGCGGTACCATGATGAGTGATGTGAAGAGCTAAATGACTTCACTCAACCCTCCTTCTCCCCCTACCTAGGGTCCCTGTATCCTACCCCTACCTATACAAACTTCGACTGTACCTCCATCATTCAAGCACGCGACTACAGCGCTCCCGTTCCAGCAGTGATCCTAATATGAACCTCTGCATGCCACTCCTTCACTCAGGCATGTGATAACTGCTCACCCCTGCTCCTCTCCTAACTCATAGGATCGCCTACCAAACCACCTCTTCCCTTACCCACACAATTTCCCAACCATGGCCTTGCCCCTCCCCCACGAGACACCAAGCTCGATAGACCCTCCCCTCACCCAAGAGATCCCCCGCACATGGCCTCACTTAACCAGGAGATCCCCTGCCCAATAGCCTCACTCATCCACGCAACCCCCCCATTCATTTGCCTTATTTACCCATAAGATCCCTCGCCCAATGGACCTCCTCTTACCCACGAGCTCCCCCTTCAATGGCACCTCCCCTCACCCTCGGAACCCTTCTCCATACACCCAACCAACCAGCGTGTCGTACCTTGCCTACGATCTCTGCTATGCTGGGCACCGGCTTGCCTAGCTGGTGACGGGGCGTCGGTGGTGACTGTCCGTCCCACCCCTGACACTCCTCTAGGCTCTGCAGGTAGAGTAACGCACGCAGACCCGTCGTGTAGTCCTCGATGAGCGTGAAGTCCTGGTTCTGGATGGCACTGCACACCTGAGAGAGAACATTAAGAGCAGAGTGAGTAACACAGCGCAACAGGACAAGAACACACCTGGAAGCGACACAAACAGGGTGTTAGCAACAACGCGCAGCCAAGCAACAGCGGCCGCGCAACAACGCACAACAGTGTGCAACTGCGCGCAGTAGTGGCCGCAACACGGCCGTACAATGGCGCGCATCAATGCGCAACACTGGCACACAACTAGCAACAACACTACGTAACAATATTGTACAACTCAACACTGTGCAACATATGCCACATCACTGAGTAATAACACTGTGCAACGTACAACACGTACAGCACTCCTCAACAACACTTTGCAACAACACGGTACAGCACTCCTCAACAACACTTTGCAACAACACGGTACAGCACTCCTCAACAACACTTTGCAACAACACGTTGCACAACACACTCCTCAACAACACGCCGCAACAACACGCCGCAACAACACCATGTAACACAACTATGCGACAACACCGCGCAACATTATTCTGCAACAACGGCCACGCATTCCCACGCCTGCATCCAGGCAGTCTACCGTTATATGTAGCATGTCTTTTGGTTTAAGGGGAGTGTGGGGGGGGGGGTCCTGCTTTTGAGAGCCATATCCAGACATGCCACAC